CCCAAAACCCCAAAACCCCAAAACCCCAAAACCCCTTTGAATTTTTAGGTTATTGAATAAGTCATTTTTGAGGAATAGATGGTGGTTTTGAAGGTAGTTTTAGGGTGGCAAATTTTTGGTCGGTTGTGCTGAACAGGGTTATTTCGGTCTGAGGTAAAGGATAGGGGGAAAATAGGTTTTTTAAGTTGGTAATGGAGAGCATTAGACGTCCAAGATGGATCTTTTCTAAGGAATTTCTGATCTGGGAGGTTGAAAATGCTTTGATAATTGACTGTAAGTGGGAAGGATTATTCTCCCAGTCACTTTGAGAAGCTCCTTCACATTGGTCAAAATGAACAAAGGTGGTTTTGAAAGAGATGTCTGCTTTCAATTTCATTCTTTTAGAATATATCTTACAGAATCAGAATATGATAATGCTCGTGTATCTTCATCTCATTATAATTTTCTCAAAATTATTCTTTGAAATTATAATATCAGAGAAATGGCACCTTGTAGTTACCATTGGAGCAAGCTTGCTAAGTCGAAGGATGTTTTTGTGATATCATGAGTCGATATCTTCATATCCACAATTTATCCATAAATACTCTACTTGCCTTGGCTTTATGAGATTTAGAATATTCTCAGAACATTTCTTCTTTTTTGAATAAAGATAATGAGTAATGATAGATTTGACAAATGGGCCGAATGAAATATTATTTCTGATTTTACTAAGATCCTAAATGGTTATATAGGAGTTACTTTAGATTCCATCTTTATAGCACTCTCTCCCATTAAAGCAAATGCCTTCGGATCTAAATTTTCATAAAAAAATTATAACTAAATTCTGAATCTAAATATTTTACTAACACCTCTAAATGTTTTGTACGACATAAAACCCATAATAAAATTTACTACGAACACTTGGATGGATTTTGACAACTTCATCAAAAATATGATCTAGTCTTTGCTCTTCATGGAATAATTGAAGCTCCTTTAATCTTAGCTTGTCCAATCATTCTTGATCCATATTTATTAAATAAAATTTCAAAGTTATTTCACTCTTCAGGGGTTTTGGGGTTTTGGGGTTTTGGGG